ATCAACTGGCTCTATTCCTTGACTTTGCTGGAGTCCATCTAGATCATTATGGACATGTCTGCCCATCGCATAGAGCCATGGTGAATGCCATTGCCATGGGATTAGAGGGAAAAGCAAATGAATGGCTAGCAGCCTTCCATAGGAGGAGAGCCTCCCAGCTGCAGGACATCAACAAATTCCTGCAAGAGCTAGAAGCCAGATTTGAGGAGGTGGAGGAGACTATATACAGAGGCTGAGTTTCAGAATTTAAAGCAGAAAGGGCAACCCATTAAAGAACACATCCGTGAGTTCAGAAGGATCATGGGAAAGCTACCACCCTGGCTGGAGGAGTTACTAGTCCATTTCTTCAGAAAAAGCCCAGATAAGCAAATTAGCAAAGCCACCATCTATCAGGACATTCCAAACTGACTCTGACTGATTTCAAGTGGTCATAAAGATTGACTGTGGTTTGTGCACCAATGATATGTGGAGGCAACCGAATCCCAGAGAGAGAGGACAGCCTGAGTGAAGACCACCTGGCTGATAGTATATGGTGGTAACTCAACTGGCCCCAAGACCAACCCTCCCCTGAGACCAGTTGAAATGCTACAGATGCGGAGGGATAGGTCACTTTCCATCAGTTTGTGCAACTCCAGCTCCGAAACCCAAGTCAGAGCTACCATCCAGGGCGTGACCGGAACGAGGCCCAGGTGTGCTGACGATAAGTCCCGAAAAGTCCTCCAGGTTGTAGAGGCCCTTCCCCACCCAGTCAAAGGGGGGGGGATTCCAGCTGATGACCAATCACCAGGACCCTATGACAGTTAGGACGAGGGAGAAAACGACCTGATGGTGGGTGAATTTATTTACCCTTTCGTCTTCCTGATACATCTCACAATCCCCAAAACAAGGACTCTCGCCATGTTTGAAGCCCTAATAGACTCAGGCTGCATTAGATGTTTGATTAACTTACCCACAGTCCTGAAACTGGGGATGAGAGCAAAGAAATTGGCCCACCCAATTAAGTTTGAGCAGGTTGATGGGTCCCTATTGGGGGGGGCATGCCTCCATCTCACCAAACCAGTGAGGCTAGAGCTAGCGGACCCCTGGGAATCAATTTGATTCATAATAGTTCCCAAAATGACAGAGGTGATGACACTGGAGCTCTCATGGGTAGACAAATGGGGCCCGACCATTTGGTGGCAAAGGGGAAACAGAGGCTGAGGATAGCTAGAGGCCCCCAAACCCCTCCGTACCAGCAAATAAAGTTATTGCCCACAGCTGGTGGTCAAAACAACTGGTGGTCACCTCTGAACAAACCCCAGAGACTGAATGGATCCCTGTAGAATACCAGAATCTTGCTGAAGTGTTTAGTGAAACTGAGTGCAATGTCATACCCTCCCACCACACAACAGACTGTGCCATCATCCCCGGTGCCAAGCTCCCCAAACTGCACGCCCTGGGAAATGAAAGAAATGTGCAAATACATAGACAAAAACCTAGCAAGAGGGTTCATTGAACTGGCCAAGCCATGAGTCGCAGCTCCAGTCCTATTTAAAGAGAAAAACAATGGAACTATGAGATTATGGGTGGATTTCAGGGGGATTAACGGCATCTGCATGCACAAACTATACCCTCTCATGAAGGACATGCTGTCCCATTTTGGCCAAAGGGAAGGTCTTTACTAAACTAGATCGCAGAGAAGCATATTACCAAGTCCAAATCAGGGAGGGAGACAAATGGAAAACAGCTTTCAACTGCCCCCTAGGAAGCTTTTAATTCAAAGTAATGCTTTTTGGGCTGCAGGGGTCCCCAGTGGTATTTATGCAGCTAATAAACAAACTGCTATATGAGCATCTCTATAAGAAGGTCCTCATCTACCTGGAGACATCTTCATCTTTACTGAGACCATAGACGACCACGTACCCCTAGCTTGAAAACCTTTTGCAGCAAACTTATATGTCAAGCTGTCAAAATGCGAATTTCATTGCTTGTGGCTAGACTACCTGGGCTACTGAGCGTCAAATGAGGGGATAGAGATGGACCCCAATAAAATACAAGCCTTCCTAGAGTGGCAGCCCCCTCACACACGTAGACAGTTACAAAGTTTCCTGGGATTTGCAAACTTTTACAGGCAATTCATCCCCCCCCTTGCAAAAATTGCCAAACCCTTGACAGACCTCCTAAAAACAGGGAACCCAGGGATGAAGCCCAGTCTGCGGCAACCCCTACAGTGGGACCTAACTTTCCAAGAGGGATTTAGAACACAAAAGAATCTTTATTGGAACATCCTAACCCTGAACAACCCTTCGTCATCCAAGCAGATGTCAGTGACATGGTGGTGGAAACCATTTTACCATAAAGAAATTGTCAGAGAAAACTACAACCTTGTGCCTCTACCTCCTGTAAACTCACTAACATGGAAAGACGATGGGCAGTGTGGGAAAAGGAGGCTTTTGCAGTAAGATGGGCATTACTAACCTGGGCCACCTTTTGGAAGGGGGGGAGAGAGAAACCGTTTGAAGTCTGGACTGACCATAAGAATCTGGAGGCCCTTAGAACACTGCAGAAACTATCACTCAAACAAATCTGCTGAGCTCAATACTTCAACTGATTCAACTTCATGCTAAACACATCCCGGGGGTGGGGGGAGGAATTTCCCAGCTGACACACTCTCTTGCATGCCCCAATACAAATGCGGGCGGGAGGAGGTAGTAGATGCCATCAGTCCCCTTCCCTAAGCCATGGCCCAAGTGACCACCCACCAACAACACCACAGCCAGCAAGACCAACTCGCAAGCCTTCGAACCATGAATCTCAAAACCAAACTGGAAGCAGACCCCTGGTTCCGTGTCAACCAACACATCTTGACAAAAAGGGAGGACCTAGTATGGAAGGGGGCAAAACTTTATGTCCCCGAGTCCCTGTAGACCTCAATCCTCCGGAGAAGCCATAATGTCAAATCAGTGGGCCAATTTTGATTCTTAAAAACTTTATACACTTAGTGAGGAGACAATTCTTGTGGCCTGGCATGAAAAAAGACATGGACAGTTATGTAAAAAAGCTGCACCATCTGTGCCTCTATGAAAAAGAGACGTGGTCAGTGGCAGAGCATCCAAGCACCAATGGGGGGTAGAGAGACTTAACACCATTGTAGAACAGTACCTCAGGTACTACGTGAACTTCCAACAGTCCAATTGGGTAGACTCTGCCATTCACAGAGGTTGTTTATACTAATGCTGTACACAGCAGCACGGGATTAACCCCTTTCAAGATAGTAAGTGGTATGGACTTTGTCCCAATGCCGGAATACTCAAGGGAAGCTCCCTCCTCTGTCAGTTTGACTGACTGGCTGTCAACGCTAAAAGCGGCATGGGAAAACATCAAGAAAGCACTAGCTAAAGTGGCACAGACCTATAAGCAACAGGCAGACAAACATCAAACCCCACAACAGCCGTTTCAGTTGGGGTGTACCACTTCACAAAATACTTAAGGTTAAAATGCCCCAGCAAGAAGCTGGGACCAAAATTAATGGCCATTCCCCTTAGTAAAGATTATCAACTCAGTCATGGTATAATTGAAACTGCCCTGGCTGCTGGGAAAAATACATCTGGTATTCCACAGCAGCCTCTTGAAACCAGTGGTCAGGTCGATCCTGAGACCATCCTATGAGCCCCTGGATCCAATGATCATAGGGGGCCAACTCATTATGAGGTGCAAGTGAAGGGTTATCCTCTATCGGAGGTATCCTGGGCACAGAGCAGAAAAATCCAAGCTTATCGCCTCATAGCCAGATTCCATGAAGAGAACCCAACCAAACTTGGGCTGGGGGGGAATCATACCCTTAAAAGATATATCTGTACTCAAATTATTTTTGCTCAGCATAGGTTGCCTTCAGTAAGTGAGCAAGGCCAAATGTCAACTTGTGAAGCTTTCCTGGCCTGCTCCCGAGTTGCCATAGGCAGGGGGGTGGGAAATCGTGCCTCGCAGCTGTATCAAGAAATTCACACCTCAGTCAAAACAAAAGTATCCTAGCCATCTGAAGTCAAGGCCATCTCCATGGAGACCTACAATGGCTGGAGGGAGTGACCTACGACCCCCAAAATTGCTTCATTGGGGAATGTGACTGGTGACACACCTTGTGGGGAGGGGGCAATAAGAAGCAAGGTGCAAACTGGGTGAAGTCAGAGCTGGATTCACCTAGGTTGTACCGACATGGCACACCTAATAAACATCTGGATTTTTTTCTTGCACAATGGCTTGGGGCTCCTGATTTTGTTAAGAGCATTGATTGAAACCCTGACAAAATCCATATTTGCCAAAATGTATTTGTTTGGTTTTTATCAACCAAATCTTTATTATGGTCACATACTAGCATAATATTGTTTTCATTGTTTATTTGTATTCATTTGGTGTTTGGATTTTTAGAGGAGGTGTTTACATTAAGATTACAATAAGAGAGGTATGATGGCAAACATTTTAGGAACCCCTGCTCTAAGATCAATTTATCTAAAGGATTTCCAGAAGCTGGACACTACTGGCTTTGTTAGGATATCATATATTACCAGGAGAGTTATAATTGAAAGTCTATATTGTACTTAAGTTCATTTCCTTTTTAATATATTTATCCACTCCATCAATCCATTACTACAAAAACATGCAGCTTTGATTTGATATCTTCACTTTTCTGCAATTGTTATTCAAAGCATTTTATGATCAAGGTCCCTGACATTCTTCAAAAATAAATCTATTGTAGTGACACGACATTTTTTGAAAGAGCTCCTAAAATTACAGAGAATTGCTCATTAATTACTAGAGCAGATGAAGGCAACCTCAGCAGCTTTTAATCTCCAAGTTTGCTTCCAGTGATTGTTTGTCTATAATTACTCAAAATTATTAACATTATTTCCTGTTTTTCTGAAGTGAAAAATATTTCTACCCTCTATGCTCCCTTTATTCCTGAAAAATATTTAAAACAGCACTTGGTAACTAAAGTTTGTCCCACTTTATACTACAGGAATTACCTTAGTGAAGACAGCTAATGGCATACCATACTGATCTTCTTCCAAACCAGAAATAAGTCCAGGTACAAGGACTGTATGTCCTGTATTAGGCTGAGGCTGAACAATAATTGGAACACTTTTGGAAATCACTGACTCCTTCAGAAGAAATTCAGTCTGTCCTGCTACTGAAGTAATTTCACATTCTCCTCCTTTCAAGTTAGGATCCTCTAGGAGATTAGGATCTAAGGTTTCCCAGTCACTTTCAGAAGATTCTGGAGAAGTGGGTAAAGAAGGTTTCCAATATTGTCCATGATCCTGGCAGACATGTAATTCACTAGATTGATGCTCAACTTGAAATAAAGGTACATCTGCTCTCTGGGTATCTCTTTCTTGGTTGCCTTCCCCAACTGTGTCAAAATTGGCATTTGAAACTGCCAGAGCAGACAAAGAAACAAAGTAACTGGAAGGAGGAGAAACTTCTTGTCCAACTTCCTCTGATGTGCTTTTTCTTGGTCGGTACTGTGAGCAATCAGTAAGACCATGTTCTATCATACCTGGAATTTATTTAAAAAATGAGATTAATATATTCTATATAGGAGCAATCACCAATTTATATTGGAAATTATGCTAAGATGAAAACTACAGTTAATTGCAAAAATACAACACACCCATGATTCTTTCTAGTCTTTCAGAAAGTTATTTTTCAATGAAGAAAATAATCTTTGGTGTAACTGAGTCGGTATAGCAGAGTTTGGAGATAATTTTAATGAAGGAACATCAGAATTGTTGTAAGAACAATCCTTTATTCTGATTGGTGTAGAAGGCATACGATAACTTTCAAGCTAGATGCCTTTCAAGTATGGTAGAGTTCCAGAAATCCTTGCGTTATTTATACCATAACCTGGCTTGCCTTGAAGAACTGACAGCACCTGTTACAAATTCCTCAAATTTTCCACTTATATAGAATTCTCAGGCTGTTTATATTAAGATAGAGAGTACAGCACTGAATAAATGTTTATGCAGGTGCTTCTCTTGTAAAACAATCTAACAGCTGGAGACTGAAGTTGAAAGAGACAAGATTGGTGTGACCTTGGATTATATTTTGTTGAAACTTGTTAAAACTTTGATATTGTGCCTTGGACAGTATATGGTGGCAGTAATTTACTTTGTGACTCATCCTTAAATTACAACTGAATCTTTTTCTTCTTTTTTTTTGTTGGTGGGTGGCCAATCTTGGCCTACTTTGTTCCTTTTTAGGCTTATTCAAGTTATTAGCCTGTTTATAGTCTCACTGTTAGAATATAACCCTCCCCTGTTTAATTTTTTTTTCTTTTTCTCTTTTAAACTACTGGTGGATTTATCTTACTATTTTTCTTTCCTTTTTATATATACTATTTTTAAACATGGTGTTTTTATATTTTCTTCTTTTTTTCTTTATCTTCACATTTTTACATCCCAGCATCTTTTCCTTTTTTTATTGGCTCTCTGTTGTTCTCCTGGGTTTTTTATTGTTCCCCTTTTTTAAAATTTTATTTTATTTTTCTTCTCTGCAACTTTTTCTCCCCCCTCCCCGCCCCCGATAATTAGATTAAGGGTAAAGAAGAACCCGAAGAAAATTGTTTTTGGTGTTGTACACTGAAATTTTTGACTGGGATTACAATTATTCAAAGATGAAGAAGACAACCTCCTCTCTCAGCCCAAATTCTCAGTGGTCACTTCGCACTATGTTACAGCAGGAGCCTTGAAGATATCTAAAAAAAAAGATGGATGGAACAGATAGTGTTCCGAGTGTACACAAGATATGCTATGAAAAACAAATTGCCTTGAGAAGTCCATTTAAGATTCACTAAGAAAGCAATAAAAACACGAATATTACAGAGTGCAAGGGATGACCCATTGAAATATAAAGGAAAAGAGATTACGGTCCTAAAACAAGTACCGAGAAAAGTGAGAGATTTGAGAAGAGAATATTAATTCTTGATGAAAATTTTAATTAAGAAGGGAGTGAATTATAGATGGTTGATTCCAGAAGGCTTAATATTTACTTGGCAAGAGCAAAGACACAGATTGGACTCAATAGAGAAAGCAGAATTATTTTATGGAGAATATAGAGGAAAAGAAGAGGAGAGAATACGAGACGAGGAAATAGTTAAACTTCAAAAGGAAATGGTTCAAGTAAGAGATAAAGAAAAAAGAGATGAAAAGACACGAGAAGAGGGAGCAGTAGGTGGAAGGGTGGAATTAAAAGAAGAGAGCAAAGAACAACGAGAGCAGTAAACCCTACATATAGAGTATAAACAATGGAAGAAATTGATTACAATAAATATAAATGGACTGAATTGGGACATCAAAAGGAAAAAACGTTCCTTAAATTAGAAAAATTGAAACTAGATATAGTCTGCTTGCAAGTAGTTCATATTAAAAAACAACATGTCCAAGTACTGAAATATCCTAGAATTGGTTAGCCTTAAGCCTTAAACTGCCTTAAGCATTACAATGCTTGAAGTAATGAATGAGGTTTTGTCAAAAACCAAAACACCTAATACATAGACAGAGGCTTATATTATTCTTAAACCAAAAGAGGATACTGACTTACAACAAATAAAAAACTATAGATCTATATCCCTGCTGAGTGCAGACTATAAAAAATTTGCCTCAGTAATGGCAGAAAGACTTAAAAGATATTTGAACCACTTTATACACTCTGATCAAAATGGATTTCTGCCTAAGAGGCAAACTAAAAGGCAACACGAGAATAATCTTGAATACATTGGAATATTATGAAACACACCCAAAAAAGCAAATGGCCTTGGTATTTTTAGATGCACAAAAAGCCTTTGACAATGTAAATTGGCAAATGGATGTTATTGCAAATGGAAGTGACAGGCTTTAGAGAAAGCTTCATTAAGGCAATTGAGACAATATACTGTGTTATAAACAATCTGCAAAAGTAATGATAAATGGAGATTTGACAGATAATATCAAATTAAAAAAGGAACTAGACAAGGATGTCCTCTGTTGCCACTGCTGTTTGTATTGACTTGGAGGTATTAAATAGAAATATTAGGGATAATAGAGAAATAAAGGGAATGAAAATAAAAAAGAGGAATTTAAATTACAAGCATTTGTAGATGATCTAGTCTTCATATTGGAGGAACCATTGGAAACAGCACCTAAATTGATAGAAAAGATCGAAGAATATGGGCAGGTGGCAGGACTAAAAATAAAGATAAAACTAAGATTGTAGTTAAGAATATGATGGAAAAACAAAGGAAAGAATTAACAGACAGACTGAACATCCAGATCACAACAAAGTAAAATATTTGGGAATACAATTAACAGCAAGCGGTGGAACATTAAAGGAAAATAATTATTAGAACTTAAAACAACAGATTGCAACAGATTTGAAAAAATGGGAAAATTTACAATTATCTCTGATAAAAAGAATATCTACAATCAAAATGAACATACTACCAAGGATATTATATTTGTTTCAGATAATTCCAATTAAATTAGGGAAAGAATATTTTGTGGACTTAAACAAAATAATGTTGAAATATATATGGCAGGGAAAGAATGCAAGAATTAAATTAAAATTGCTACAGGATACTAGACTGAGAAGAGGTTTTGGACTACCCAATTGGGAATTATACTACCAGGCAATAATACTGGTGTGGGTGAAAGAATGGATTGCGCTGAGAAATACTATATTGTTAATACTGGAAGGCCATGATTTGCAATTGTGGGGGCATGTATTTTTATGGTATAAGGAAAGGAAAACACATGGGTATTTTAGGAGACACTATATTTGAAATGCTTTATTGTTAACATGGGAGAAAATAAGGAAACAACATTATATGAAAATACCATTCTGGTTATCAGCTATAGAGGCATTCGCATATCCAATTCTTTTTAAAATGGAACACATAGTTAGATATAGTGAAATTTTAAATGAAAAGGGTGAACTCAAAACAAAGCAAGAATTACATGAACAAGAGTTAAAGATGAATTGGTATTCATATGTGTGCAAGTACATTCTAGATATGATAAAGACAGTAAGACAGAAGGGCTTTATAAAGAATTTACAGAACTAGATAAAATCTTAACGGGTACTGTTGAGAGGGTGATTAAAAATTATATGGTTATTTACTAGAAGTGAAACTAGAAGAAGAACAAATTAAAGAAGCAATGATTGCATGGGGGAAATTTTTTGCATATGGGATAGATCTAGACAAATGGCAGAAACTATGGACTAGAAACTATAAACTAACAATGTCAACAGCATATAAAGATAATTTGTATAAGATGTTTTACAGGTGGCATCTACCCCAGCAAGAATAGCAAGGATGTTCAAGGATAAATTGGTGAAGTGTTGGAAATATCATCAGACACCTGGATCATATTACCATATGTGGTGGATGTGTGCAGAAGCTAAAAGATACTGGAGTAAAATACACAGATGGCTGGAAAAAATGACAAAACAGCATATAGATTTGAAACCAGAGATATTTTGTGGGGGAATTTTACCTGAAGGTTATAATAGAGAATTGATATACTTGATTATTAATGTTTTAACTGCAGCTAGAATTGTATTTGCTCAAAATTGGAAAAATGAGAAAATTCCAACAGAGGAGGTGGTGATTAAGAAAATAATGGAATGTGCAGAAATGAGTAGATTAACATTAGCAATTAGAGAGCAAGAAGAAAAAGAATATTTTAAGATATGGGATTTATTTTATCAATGGTTAGATAGAAAAATGGAAAATTGAAGTATAATTCAACAGTAATGATATGCTATAATTGATTATTATAGAACAACTTTTAATATGAATAAAAATTAGTAAGAACTGAGATTTGCTCTAAAGGATAATGTGGATTTGAAACTAAAGTCTAATGATGGTGTAATAATAATATAATATGATATGGAAAGTTGATTAATATAATATGAATGTAAATTTAAATTTAAGAGGAAAAGACTATACATATTGTGCACAAGAATTATGTAGCAATTGACACACTGTATAATTGTTAAAAATAAAAACTATGTATGTATGTATGCATGTATGTATAAAAGAATTCTCAACAAGTATTTTCTTTGGCTCCTAATAATGATTCTAGCACTAAATCTCATGGCTGAAGTTCCTATTGTTACAAGGTTAGTAAAAAATGATTCTATTACAAGCCTTCTGCTAGTCAAAAATGTTTCACAGTACCAACCCTACTCAAAAGAAAGACAAATGTTTTTTTCCTTGGGAGGGAATGTTCTTTTATTTATTTATTATTATTTTTATTTTTAATATAATAATCCATCTTTAGTTGAACAGTGTGTTCTCTGGGTACAAATATCTTTGTTGAACAGTAATCAAAATTTGCAACATCATTAATTAAAATAGTAATATTTCACACATTAATTCTACAATATTAAAATAGTAATATTCAACAAACTAATTATATTAGCGTATCTTTTTAAACACATCTTCTTTATTTTGTTTCCATTTCCCTATTTCTAACTTCCATTTTTGTTGTTTAACCATTGATAAAATAAATCCCATGT